TGAATATCACATCTCTATTGTGGATCATCTTTTTGTTTTCGTCATCCCAAAGACGGCATCCAAACTCATCCTCATTTTAACCGATGAAAGTGGAATTCTTAGATTTTGGATCAAGTTTATTTCTACCTTTATCACTAATATGCACGTATGCTACACATTCAAAAACTCTAAGATGTGAGAGTTTTATCTCTTTTCCACTCCATACCTCTTCTGGTATTTTATGCTCCAATGGTACCAATGGACCTTGGTTGATCAAGTAGATTGATGTGTTGACTGCTTCTGGCCATAACTACTTTGGTAGGCATGACTGCATACGTAAACTTCTGGATCTTTCTATCAACATTTGGTTTATACGCTCAGCTACACCTTTGTGTTGAGGTATACCTGGCACGGTGCTCTCCATTTTGATCCCATGCTCATAGCAGGATTTCTTGAATCTGGTGTCTTCATATTCACCACCATTGTCGGTTTTGAGCCTTTGATCTTTAACCCTGTCTCATTTTCTACCATGGCTTTCCACTTCTTGAAAGCCTAAAATTTATGACTTATATTTTAGAAAGTATATATATATATACCTTTCTAGAGTGAACATCGATAAAAGTCACAAAGTAATTCTTCCACCAATAGATGAGACAGTTGTTGGACCCTAAACATCAGAGTAAAATAAGCTCAAGTTTATCTTTCTTTGGGGTTCTTCCACTTGTTTGGAAGCTGACTCTTTTGTGATTTTCAAATATGCAGTCTTCACATATATCAATTTCTATTGGCCGAAGACTTGGAAGTTTTCACTTTGAGTGCATAACCTTCATCCATTTTCACTCATATGGCCTAATCTCTAGTGCCATAGATTGGGATTTTTATTTAGTGCAATTGTAATCAAGACATGTTTCTGCTGTCTTGTAAAGAGTACCACTCTTTTTACCGCGAGTGATCATCGTTGCATCCTTTGAAATCTTCCAATCGTCACCCTGGAATACAGTTGTGTATCTGTCACTGGCCAACTGGTCTACTGAGATTAAGTTCTTTGTTAGGTCGAAAATATGTTTGACATTTTTCAATTCCCAAACAGACTCACTCAACGTAATCCTCACTTCACCTTTTCCCACAATCTCACAAGATTGCTCATTACCAAGACAAACTTTACCAAGGTTACCAGGGACATAATTCTAGAAGAGTTTTTTCTATGAAGTAGCATGAAAGGATGCTTCAGAATCTAACACCCAAGACTCTTCCTTGCTCTCCAAGGAGCATATTAAAGCATCACCTTCTTCTGGGGTGGAAGCAACATTGGCCTCGTCCTTCACCTCCTTGTTCTTTGGTGGACTCTTGCATTAATTTTTGAAGTGCCCCGTCTTTCCATAATTTCAACACTCGATATTTTTCGAGTTATAGGAACTACGATGATTTCTGGATTTGGACCGCCTGTCCTTTGATTTACCGCGTCCATTTCCTCTGATTGAATTTCTTCCTCTTGACTTTGTATGCAACAATGAAGAGGATGAAGATTCACCCAACTCTCTTCGTCTGATCTCTTCACTGAGAACAAGATCACAAACATCATCAAACTTAACTTTTTACTTCCCGACGAGCTACTAACGGCGGTGACAGTAGCACTCCAACTATCTGGTAGCGAAGACAAAAGTATCAATGTTTGTACCTCATCGTCAAACTCGATTCCAACAGAACTCAACTAGATTGTGACGATGTTGTGTTCATTGAGATGTTGAGCAGCTGAAGCGCCTTCTTCCATCTGTAACGTAAACAATTGCCTCATCAAATGAACTTTATTTGATGTTGATGGTTTTCCATACATGTTAGTAAGAACCGCCATAAGACTCGCAGTGGTCTTTTCCTTTACAATATTAAATGCAACATTATGAGACAACGACAATCGGATAACACCGAGAGCTTGTCTGTCAAAGAGCTTTCACTCATCATCTTTCATTTCATTTGGTTTCTTTCAAATAGTCCTCTATTTGCATCTTCCAAAAGTCAAAGTTAGCACCATCGAACTTTTCAATGTCCACATTTCCTTTGTTTGCAGCCATCACTCCCACTTGAATTGTGAGGACCCCATGATAGTATATTATAGCCATGCCAAATTGTGTCGTGAAGCTATTGAACTATATAATGAGATGATTAGCTTGAAATTTGTTCTAGATAAGCATATAATTGATGTCGGTTCTCTTTACTTGTGCTTAGGAAGGGGAGCTAGAACAAGGTAGGTTTGTTCATGATTACATTGTGAGGAAGGGGCTCGAGTTAATTCATTTTTGGCCACCGGACCGGGTGGACTTATATTCAAAATGTGTATGTCTTAAGATTTCAAGAGAAATATTTGAGTCATTCTAATATAAACACCTTGTATGCAGAATTGAGAATAAAGAACAAGAATGTCAAATACAAAACAGTCTCACAGAACTTCAATCTAGATGCACACCCTTACAAAACAGCAACCCTACCACAAAATCAGTAGCAACACAACAGCAGAAGAATAAATCTCAAGAAAAATAGTTGAAAAAAAAGACGATTCATTCCAATGATAAGGTGCTAAACACGATTACAATATTTCAAAATTAAATTCTTAAGAAATTGAAATCAATGGTACAGAAATAACATGTCCAAAATATCTACACAAACCCTAAGAGCAAGAAGTCAACAACATCAAGCACGCTCGCCTCTGATACGCCTAGCGAGCTGAATATCCTTAGGCATAATAGTGACACGCTTGGCGTGAATTGCGCAGAGGTTAGTATCCTCAAAGAGTCCAACAAGGTAAGCCTCAGCCGCTTCTTGGAGCGCAGACACGGCGGAGCTCTGGAAACGGAGGTCAGTCTTGAAATCCTGAGCAATCTCACGAACAAGACGCTGGAAAGGAAGTTTGCGGATCAAAAGCTCAGTGCTCTTCTGGTACTTGCGGATCTCACGGAGAGCTACGGTTCCTGGCCTGAAACGATGTGGCTTCTTCACTCCGCCGGTGGCCGGAGCAGACTTGCGAGCGGCTTTGGTGGCCAGTTGCTTCCTCGGAGCCTTGCCGCCGGTGGACTTGCGAGCAGTTTGCTTGGTACGTGCCATTGTGAAGTACCAGAAATGTAACAGAAAACGGTTACAATAATTTGAGATTTGTTTTTTGTTAAGCTTTGAGAGTGATGAATTTTGAAATGAAGAAACTGGTTTATTATATAGTGTTGATTTTGTGGGGGTTTTGAAATTGAGAGGGAGGTGAATTTGGTTATGTTTGTGGCCGTTGATTTTAGTTGGTTATCGATGGGTGATGTATGTTTGGAGTTGTTGAGCACGCGGATTAGTGACGTGGCATGAGGAGGAGTTTGGAGCGTGTGATGGTAGTCGTTGATCTTGTAATGATGAAAGGTTGAGATTGAATTTGAAAAAGTGACGCGGATCGGTGAATATTTGGTGTGGGAGCAAACGAAAATGAAAATATAGGAAGAGGAGAAAATTCATCCTTTGGCGGGTTTAGTGTTTTTTTATTTGGGTAGCTTCCAAAAATGGGTCTTGGAAAATTTAACCCAATATCCTTACATCTATCTTCATACTTCTAAATTATTTTAAAAATATCAAATTTATTCTTTTATGTTTTTAATTCAAAATTTTAATATTTATTATTCACATGAAATTTTCGAAAAAACTCTGCCACTATAATTGTAAGTTGGAAGATTTAACATAAAGACTTTTGATATGTATTAAATGCGAATCGGATAACTTCATAAATGAGTTACAATATATTATTTTTTTAAATTCTAAAAGGATTTTTAAAAATAGTTCTTCAACGTAATTTAAAATTTTTATTGTATCAGAATATTTGACACAGGTGTTCTGATTTATATTTTGTTGTTTATCGAAGTTCTTTATGTTAAGTCTTCTGGTGTGTTTTTTGTTGTCCAAAACATCTATATCAAGTCTTTCGATTTTAATTTTTTTTCACTTTAACTGCCTTTTTTGTTTTAGGTATGGAAATTCCTCTACAAATATTCAAAGAGGGGAAAACTCCAAGAGACAAGGAAAATTCAGTCTACAAGAAGGCTAAAAAGTTTCTCCACGATCTTTATCCATCTTTATATATGAAAAGGCTATCAAACGGGTCAGATTGAACGTAAGAAATAAGGGCAAATCAACAGTCATGTTTTATATGGGGAAGACAACTACACTCAAGTGTACTGATTACACAGAAAGTTGTGTCACGTCACCCCATACCTTTTTAGGTAACACATCAAAGAAATAACAACGAGATATTTCAATGATAGGATTGTAGTTAATGCTCACATTTGCATCATGCTTTGGCAAAACCAAAGTGGTGCTTGCCAGCCGACGCCTAGATGAACTTCCTTTGAGGCTGGCCATTAATATTGAAAGACTCCCCCAACATCAAACATGTCAGACGAGTCTTAGGGGAAACTTTTATGTGTTAGTCAAAGGCCCAAGACCCACTATTTTGCGTCGACCAAAGGTTCAATAGCACGGGGCCAATTATTTATCCTACTCCGCCAAGTTCATGGTATAAATACCTTTATAAAAGGTTCTCGGATACACAATCTCTAATCTCCACTTTCACTACCGCTATCTTGAACCCTAAACTGACTTGGGTGTTGGAGTGTTAACCACGTAGGTACCCCCTAGATCCATCGTATCGGAGATAACAATCATTGATTAACAACATCACATAAGATTTCTACCTTTGGTTCAAGAAGGACCACGAATGCAACCTTTGATCCACAATGTTGCATTTATGTAGTGCAACGGAAGCTCCGATCCACCGTAGTTTACATAATCATCGCCATTTTTGGTTCTGCAACGGAGCAAGTAGCATATCAACACATCACCGCAAATGGCTTAAACATGTCCCAAGATACATATACCAGCATCAATTTCCAGAAAATGCCCCCAAAAGATAGTAGAAGTTACTAACATAAGTCTAAAAATAGAAATAAACATGGTGAAAACAAAATGCAGATGATTATATGATATGATGCAAGATTCATCTAATATAAATCATCAGGAGAGGGATCATAGGTGGCATCAATATCATTAAAGTTGAACATAAGAGTGAAATCCTTAAGATGATCTAGGACACCTTTCACGGTAGATAACTCAACTAGGATCTTCTCATTTATTTCTTTTGCTTCTCTAGCAACCAAGTCAATATGAGCATGAAGACGAGTCTCTTTGATCTGAGAATCAGCCAAAATATTGCTAACCAAGCCATCCATATATGCCTTGGCATCATCACATAACAACATGTCAAAAGAACAAAGTGGGGCAGAGGGGGATGAACCAATTTTCTCATAAAAAATTATATACTTCTTCTTCTTATTATTCTTATTCTACTTGATTTCCAAACCTTCTTGAATCGTAATCTTGTCCTTATAAATGTACCTACCAACATTATCCAAATCATAGTACACTTTCTTTCCATATTTGAAGTAACATATCAAATTGATCACAGTTGAATCAACCGGCCTCGGTGCTTCGACTAAGTATTCATCAGCAAAAGAGATATCATTCATGTTTAAAATGAACGCAGTGAAAGAGGAGAAAAACAAGGATCTCTTATGAGAATTCCTACAATAACCAATCCTACTCATAATAGACTTAACCCACTTACACTTACCACATTTCAAAAGAATCCACATTAGGTATAAGTCATTATCATCAACCCTTGCCCAAATGTGGGGTTTCCTAAAAAAACTTTCATAACAATCCGGTGTGAAATCCTCATTTCAAAATTAACTTGTATAATTTGAAAATCAGCAAAATCTAAAAAATTCTTGAAAACAAACTCGAAAATGCTCTAAACAAACTCAACTCTATCAAAACCAAATGCATTTGAAATACACACTTCACTACATTTTGAAACTAAACCATAATGATGCTTAAAATCATCTAGCATAAACTTAATGACCTAATTGTGAAAGACACATTCAAGATCATTACTAGACAACTTAAGATTATACTAAAATGCTCTGAAATGATTAAAGTTGTATTTTCTATTTAGTTCAATGAATTTCAAAAACTTGTGTTACTCTAATGGTTTCAGAAAATTAACTCATTCTTCAGACTCAACAGACTTAGTCATAAAATGCTCAGCTTCAACAGGTTTGTTAAGGAATTCTTTCACATACCTCTTGAGTTTGTCATCAAGAATCATGTGACTAACTGTGATACGGTGGGATAACTGACTTGAGGTTTCGCGTTTGTCTTCGCAATTGTTCGGTTTAGCAAGAGTCGCCACCGACTTTTTATTTTATCCTAAGGAAAGGTCAAAAAGCACAGAAAAGACCTTTGAGATGTTTTCTTCGGTTCGGGGGGTAGATTATGAAAAGGGAATGTGCAAGCACCCTTTTCATCCATGGTTTTCCATGGGCTCTTAGTTACTTATTTAGATCACTTGCCTTTGCTTTTCAATTGTTTGAAATGGTGCTTTGTGTGTGTGGTTTTGAAAAATGCTTTGAAAAAGAGGCCTTGTCTAGGCAACCTTTGTAATGATTCTTGTTCGAATATATACAAAGGTGTGTGTCTTTTTGAAAAGATATTTCAATGTTTTGAAAGTTGTTTTGAAATTGTGTTGTGAGGTGTGTTTGAAAATGGCAAGGATGTTTTGCAAGCTTTTGATCAAGTAACTAAGGGCTATCTACCCTATTTTACTCAAAGATCTTTCTTATGTTTTTAACCCTTTTAACAGTGTTGTTTCACCATTGCATTTGGTGAACAACCTTGTGTTAGGATGTTAAACGGGACAGGCGCGGGTCATCGTATACAATCATTGAAAGCAACTTGTGAGACGCTCTAGCAATTTTGTAAGGGACGAGATCATTTTATCAAAGGCAACATCGAGGGTCATCGAGGGACTACGATCTTTGTTTATCGAAGGGGCATTTGCTAGAGTGTCTCATATTCGAGGGACATGATTGCATTTTCCGAGGCAATAAGCGAGGTTACCCTAGAGGTGCAAGTGTGAATTGTGTATTGATTTTCATGCATTTATTCTTGTATTAGGTCATCTAGCGATTGATTTTAGATCTTCGCATACAAACCCTAATTACTATACAGTATATTGAAAGCAAAAAATTGCGGGAATTTAAAGTCTAAATTATTACAAAAGAGTATCCGGGGATGGGGGTACAATTATTTACAAATGGGGATGAGTCTCATAAGAATGATAATGTTCAAATATGTGTTACAACCAAATCGAACTGTCGCAATTCAAATATAAATTTATAACAAATGAAAAGATCAATAATATGAGATGCATGGTGTTTATTTACAAATAAACAAATAAAATTTAAACTAAGTATTATTGTTATTTTGTTTTATGTTTTTTTAGGAACTTATGTAAAGAAAAGTTTTAAAGAAAGAAAGATTATTTAAATAAAGATTCTAGTATTTTTTTTGTATTTTTATTATGTAACAAAAATCAATTAATAAAACTATATTGAAAAAATCAAAACAAAATTTTAATATATTTTTAGTTTTATTATTGGTATCAAAGAAAAGGAAGTAAATTATTTAAAATGACATTTATTAAAAAATATATTAGTTTAAAATGAAAGAAAAAAAGGTGGGCTTAAGAATTTATAGTGAGGCCCAAATGAGAATGGAGAGGAACATGAACCAGGATGAAGGGGGGGGTGCGTTTTAAAAAAAACATGGGCTTTGAGGTGAAGGCCCAACACCAGACTTTGTAACATTTTTTAGGGGTTTGGTTTTGATTAGGGTTTGCAAGTTTACAACAGCGGCGCCGCTCTTGCTCTTCTTCTCCGTTTCTCTTCTTCGTTCTCAAACCATGAGCTTCTGATTCTTCCTCAAACCTCCAGGTCGTCGGAGCGCCACCCTAGCCCTCTCCTCTCCACGACGGTCCAAGGAATTTGTTTGAACGATACGATTCATCTTGTTTTGATTTTTAGGGTTTTTACAGTTTGCTTGCATGTTTAGCTTGCATGTTTTAATCCATGGCTTTTACGTGTTTGATATGCAGTAAAGTTTGGAAAAAGAAATTATACCTTGAGAGATCTTTCTGGAAAATGGAGGGAGAGGAGAAAAGGGTTGAACCGACGGTGCTCTTGGTGGCCAGAGGCGGAAGAAGACGAGATGAACGCGCTTCTGGTATTTTTTTTGTTGTTCTTTTGATTTGGATGTCGTTTGATGATGATTATTCTGAAAACTGCTTCGAAACTTTTGTTGATGTTGATGATGATTTTGATTCTGAAACAAAGTGCTTTGCTTCTGAATCTCTTCCTTTTTTTTGCTTGTTGATGATGATTTTGATTCTGAAACCCTATTTGCTTTGCTTCTGAATCTCTTCCTCTTCTCTTTGTTAATGATGAGCTTGATTTCTGAAACTTGTTGTTTGTTATTGATAAGCTTCTGAACCTCTTGGAATGTTGATGTTGAATGTGTTTCTGGAACTTATTGGTTAGCTTCTGAAATGTTCTTCCTCTCTCTTTGATATGTTAATGATGATTGGACTCTGAAACTATTTGCTTGTTTATAGTTTGGTTTTGAAGATTAATGTTGGCAGGTTGCTTTAAGTTTTGGTTACAGGTTGTGTGTTTTGTTGATTGGCTTGTTGAGCTTGTAGTTCTTGGGCAAGCTTGGAGCAGTTTGGTTTATTCTGAAACTGTTTGGCAAAGCTTGTTTTCAGTTTGGTTTGAGGGTTTTGGTTATGTTTCACAGTTTTGCAGTTTGAAAATGCAAGCTTGTTGTAGTTTGGCTAGCAGGTTTGCAGTTTTTGACAGGTTTTGTTAAACAGGTTTGCAGGTTTGGAAAGTAAGCTTGCTTGGCTTACAGTTTGTTTTGGCCATGCAGGTTTGCTTGAGCTTGTAGTTTTTGACTATGGTTTTTGAGCTTTTGTGTTTTGATAACAGTTTATGCAGGTTTGTGTTTGGCATGAGTGTTTAGCAGGTTTGGAAACTGTAGTTTGCAGTTTTGCAAGTTTTGTGCTAGCAGGCTTACAGGCTTGCAAGTTTTGTGCAGGTTTAGGGTTGAGTTTTTGGTTACAGGTTGTTTTTGGACAAGCTGCAGGTTTTAATGTTCTCCTCCCTTTTTGGACTGTTATGCAGTCTCTTCTCTTTTATATCTTTTTTGTTTCTTTGATAACTTGAAAACAACCTGCTTTTTGCCAAAACTGCAAACTCTTTTCACTAAAAGGTCCTCTCTTTCTCTCTCTCTCCCCTAAGCACCTTTTTGCTTATTATTTTAATTCTGAAAAGTTTGTCTAGGCTGGAAAGTGATGATGGCTAGGACAAGCCTCTTTGGCTTGTAATTTGGTTTATCTCTCTGCATTGTGTACTTTCTGTACTTGTTTACTTTGACAGTTTGCATACTTTCTGCATTGTGTACTTGGTTGCTTTAGTTTCTATACTTCTTGACTTGTTTTGTAACTCAGTTTGACATGCTTAGTTAGCTTTGCTGACTTGCTTATGTTTTGCAACTCAGTTTGATATTCAGTTTTGGCATAGTTTTGTTGCGCTTTGGTTTGCCTTTCAACTTGCCTATGTTTTTGCATTTGAACCAATTGTATGCTTGCAATTTATATCTTTTATTTTTTTCTCTCTGTGAACCGAGAAGAGCGATCTTCTTGTGATTTGCAGAGAGGAAAATAAAATATGATGAACATAGCATTCTGATTCCGGCCGGCAAACTTTAATGATGATTTCTTTCTTTTTCTATTTGAAAATCTTTTTTCAATTAACTGTGCTGATTTCTTTTCTTTCTTCTTTTTCAGGTGAATGCATCTTGGGCAATAGAGGAAGCAGAGGAAGCAAAAATTCCTTGAGCATGGGAGCATTGGAGCTTAGGAGATTAGATTTATTTTTCATTTATTGTAAACAAATATTATCTTAAATACCATAAGTTGTAAACTTACAATATTCAAAATAAATTTTGTAACAACATTTGAAATGAATAAAAGTCTTTATTCAAAAGAATGTTTCTACTATCAAATATCTTTCAATTCTTCCTCTTCACTTTTAAGATTCCTGATATAAAACAACTGAAATTGCATTCCAACATTTTTAATGCAGATAACTTAAAATCCAAGTAACCTCTAAAAACTTTGCAATCTCATAACTTGCGACAGTATTCCAATCAACATACGCGCTGTATAATAAACAAACAAGCATTCTATTAACTGGAAAACCTTTCATTCTATTAACAAGCAGATGTCTTGATATTCCAAATAACAATCTCAGCTCTTGTTTTAGATAATGAGGCTTTTGAGAACAATCAGTAAATCTTTCAGCAAACTTTGAAAAAGTGCGAAAACAAAGTAACAGTGAACTGAATTTCTGTGGATTCAATTTCTTTTGAGAGATGCGAGAGAAAAAACCCTAATTCTTGATTTGTTGCCAAAGAAGGGTCTGCTTGATCAATTCCCGAGCCAATCTCATAAATCAGAGAAAAAAAACCCTAATTCTTGATTTGTTGCAAAAGAAAGGTCTGCTTGATCAATTCCTGAGCCAATCTAAAAATCAGAGAAAACCTTGGGGTTGTGATTTCTTGTGAAAAA